CCTCCTATATAATATCTAGTTGCGGCCTGTGGGAAAATGTACTGAAAACCCTCACCTATCAAGTAGGTAGAAGCAACAGACAGGTTCAGAACCACTATCCTAAACAAAGAAGTCAAGAGAAAGACTTAGAACAACTTTTATTCAAAAGGAAAACAAGTGAGAATACACATGAAACTGAGTCATGTAAGGTTGGTCTGATCAACTGGCACCAGTGGTACAAGAAAATTAATGCCCTTCATGATGTGGAATCTTCTACATCACGATAGTTATGCACGTTAAGGAGGTAAAAGTTCTGAAAATCAACAGAAGCAAAAGAAATGAGAAAACATTTTTGCTGCTATCTGAAAAGAATATAGTGCACACTTGGTTTTTAGTAGCAATGTTGCTGAGAGCCCAAGGAAGCTCATTTTAAGATCTTACCAGGGAATCTGGTAACATTAACTATTAAACTTTATGTATGTGTATATAAATCCCTCTAAATCAGTTCTTAAAACCTTATATAATGTTTTTGTTTGTTTGTTTGTTTGTTTGTTTGTGTTTTTTTTTGAGACAAGATCTCACTGGCACTGGGGCTGAAGTGCAGTGATGTGATCTTGGCTCACTGTAGCCTTCATTTCCCAGGTTCAAGCAATCCTTCCACCTCAATCTCTCAAGTAGCTGGGACCACAGGTGTACACCACCACATTCAGATAATTTTTGTATTTTTAGGAGAGATGAAGTCTCACCACGTTGCCCAGGCTGGTCTTGAACTCCTGGGCTCAAGCAATCTGCCTACCTCTGCCTCCCAAAGTGCTGGGACTACAGGCGTGAGCTACCATGCCCAACTGGTTACACACTTTTCAAAGTGGTTTTACTTAACTTCAGCCATGGATTTAAATAAAACAGAGGATTCAGACCAAGGTTATTTACCTTTTGTTTGTGTGAATGTGTGAACATGTATATATATAAATGTAGACACACACACACACACACACACATATACACATATACATGTAGATACATGTATATGAGTATATATATTTATGCACATAAGATTTGCCTAAAAGAAATAAATTTCTATGAATAGAAAGTTTTTAAAAAGTGATGGAAGTATGCCTCTTTGCAATTCTTAGCAGCACCAATAGAGGAATCATAAGTCTATAGATACTTCTTTTGAAAGCTATAGTAGTAAACAAACATTAACGGCTAAAAATACTTTTAAGCTATATTATTTTCATTAAATAAGCAGGTGGTATGTTATACACAGCCCAGTGATAAAGATTGCCAAATAAAGCTTGCACACAAATCAAAGATGGAATAAAACAAATTTAAATCAGATTCATTTAAACATTTTTATAAGGAATCAAAGATAATTTCATTTAAGACAGCTTAAACTTCAATTTGCCATAGAATACAGATAATTTCTGCTTTACTCACAAATGAACACTGAAAATATTTGGGTTAAGTATTCTGGGGTTCATAAAAGCTCATCTGTTTCAATAATTTAAAGCAAACCATTAGACCCAGTGAAAGATGATGTTCCCAAAAGTCCACCAAGCAAAAACATTTAGTTCCAGCTCTCACTTTAGTTATATTTTCCCCGCTACCATGGTCATTAACAGCAGTATACCGAAATAACCCACAACTTGACCAACCTTATCGTCTCCATGAGTTTTCACACAAAGTAAACTTTTTTTTTTTTTTTTTTGAGGCGGAGTTTCGCTCTTGTTACCCAGGCTGGAGTGCAATGGCGCGATCTGGGCTCACCGCAACCTCCGCCTCCTGGGTTCAGGCAATTCTCCCGCCTCAGCTTCCTGAGTAGCTGGGATTATTACAGGCATGTGCTACCATGCCCAGCTAATTTTTTTTTTGTATTTTTAGTAGAGACGGGGTTTCACCATGTTGACCAGGACGGTCTCGATCTCTTGACCTTGTGATCCACCCACCTCGGCCTCCCAAAGTGCTGGGATTACAGGCTTGAGCCACCGCGCCCGGCCACAAAGTAAACTATTAATCTTTTCTACAAGTGCCAAATTTTAAGAAAGGGACTAAGAAAAGTATTGTAGGGAATAGAGTTGAGGAGAACTAAAAGTTTACACATAACCTAAGAAGAGAGAAGGAAAGAAGGTTTCAAGCTATCTGTTCCACAGGAACTACCACCTTAAACTGTGTGCCAAAGAATGCTAGCTCTAAGTGCTGCTCCATAAAATGCTCAGAAAATGTTGTTCATAATACACGGAATATTTTTTGAAAAAACTGAGGCATTCTATTATTGCACCCCTCCAAATATACCTGTAACTTTCAAAAAAAATGTTTAACCCAGTATTTTAGAGATACTTAACTTCATAATCTTTCTTACTCATTAAGAGTTCTGCAAAGTTAGTGTTCCTTATAGCATATTTTGAGAAACTATGTAAATTCTAGATAATGTGCCACTGATTTAGGATCTACTAAGAAATGTATGATTAAGAGAAATCCAGCAAGGCAACAGGAAGACAACTGCTTAGGAATGTTAAAAATATTTAAGATAACACACAGAAGATAAACAATGTAACAGGAATAGAACACCTGGTTATTATTGGTGTGGTAAGCGTCATCTGCATATACAGTCTATCAAATTGTTTCAGATTATTTTTTCATCCCTATTGCCAACATTTCACCCATTCCCTTTCAACCATAGAATAATGGTAAGCTTAAATATTTTCCCAAGTTATTTTCCTTGTTATAGTCTACTTTTTCTAATCTAGTGCTTCTGAAACTTAATTTATTGCTCATGAATAAGCAGGGATCTTGTTAAAAATGCAGGTTTTGCAGATGAGATCTGAAATTTCTCATTTCTAGAAAGCTTCCAGGTAGTACTGATGCAAACACACTTGAGTAACAAAGATCGAAAGCCATGCCTTACTACTCTTAACTCAGTGAATTGTGCATAAACATCTATATTCAATTACTAATCAAAAACTTTATTTTGGACCTATCTGGTTTTTCTCTAACTACTATACTCATTTCAACACAACCCTGGTTTAAGATAAAATGTATGTACAGTACAGACTTCAAATGCACAATTCAGTTATGATAAATGCATATTCCAAGTAACCCTTACTACCTCCCCTTAGGGTAAAATGCATATACAGTGAAGTACAGATTTTTAATGTACAATTCAATGAGTTTTTATAAATTTTTACACCCAAGTAATGACTACACCCCTCCCAAGAAAATACTGAACACTGTCACCACACCAGCTCTTTGTTCCGGCCCAGCTCTATAAATGCCCTTTCACTTTTCCACTGCCTATCCACTTATTCTTAAAGACTCAACTGAAGCCCTTCCTTCTTTAAAGCACACCCCAAATTCATTCATGTACCACCATCTAAATGTATTCATTATTTTTGAGACAGGGTCTGCCTCCATCACCTAGTCTAGAGTGCAGTGGTGCAATCATGGCTCACTGCAGCCTCAAACTCCTGGGCTCAAGCAATCCTTCCCACCTCAGCCTCCTGACTAGCTAGGACTACAGGCACATGCCACCATGTCCAGCTGATTTTTTCATTATTATTATTTTAGTAGAGATGGGGTTTCGTTGTTACCCAGGTTACTCTCGAATTCCTGGCCACACACCCCAACATGTTGGGATTACAGGCATGAGCCACTGCACTTGGCCGCTGATCTACCACTTTCTTTTTTTTTTTTTTTTTTTTTTTGAGACAGAGTCTTGCTCTGTCACCAGGCTAGAGTGCAGTGGTGCAATCTCGGCTCACTGCAACCTCCGCCTCCCAAATAGCTGGGATTACAGGTGTGCACCACCACACCCAGCAAATTTTTATATTTTTTAGTAGAAAGGGGGTTTCACCATGTTGGCCAGGATGGTTTTGATCTCTTGACCTCGTGATCCGCCTGCCACGGCCTCCCAAAGTGCTGGGATTACAGGCGTGAGCCACTGTGCCCGGCCTGATCTACCACTTTTAAGACCCAGCCATCATCATCCCACTGAACAACTACAGTGGGCACCTCACAAGTTTTTTTACCTCTACTCTTGTTCCCCTCCTCAATATATTATCCATAGAGTCGTCGGAGGGACCCTTTAAAAAAGCAGGTTCCTGTCCTGCTTAAAATTCTCCAATGGTTTACTACCACATTTGCAATGAATCCAAATGCCTTTTCCTGTATGGCAAAGCCCCTCTTTTTCTGACCTCATCTCTTGCTACTTTCCCTGTTACTTTCTCTGCGCTGGCCAATTGAACCTCCTTCCTGGTCCTACAGCAAGACGTTCCTGCTTTAGGGACTCCACATTAATTACTTGCTCTGCTCTTCCCCATCACCTTTATATGACAGGCTTTTAGTCATTCAGCTCTCCACGTCAAAGTCACCTTCCCACAGAAGCCTCCCTGACAATAACATCTAAAGTAGCTACTCGGTCACTCCCTTACACAAATCCTACTTTAATTCTCCACACAGCATCTATAGTTGGTATTTATCTTAATGAGTTTGTTATTTATCTCTTCTCACAATAGCATAAGCTCCATGACTATTAAATTTGTCAACAGCGTTCAATGCTTTAACTTCTGAACCCAGAACAGCATCCATCTCATTACAAGTAAATGCTTAACAAATGTTTTCTTTTTGAGATGGAGTCTCGCTCTATCACCCAGGCTGGAGTGCAGTGGTGCGATCTCGGCTCATGCAACCTCCGCCTCCAGTAGGGACAGGGTTTCACCGTGTTGGCCAGGCTGATCTCAAACTCCTGACCTCAGGTGATCCACCTACTTCAGCCTCCGAAAGTGCTGGGATTACAGGTGTGAGCCACCACACCCAGCCAATAAATGTTTTCTAAATAAATGTTAACATATATAATATATATTCATATTATGCAGATGGAATTGTGCCTGATATCCCAATACAAAATTTTCTATAAAATCTAAAAAGAAAGCTATTGCTAGTTTTCAAACAAGATAAATCCTTCGTAAGAAAGAAAGAGGAGGAAAGTATTTCACCTTTAACTTGGAGCAAAAATAAAACACAGGTTAAGTCAAAGTTTAATTCACATAAAGTTTAATCATCAAGTTAATGAAAATATCAAAATTTCTGAGTTAGTGTATGGCAGAGAAAATTTAAATGTTGTTGCAAATAATACAGTATTTGGTGTTTCCATTATTGACAAGCTATGCTGCAGAAAGAGCAATCGCATTAAATCTTAGTTCATCGGGGTCACGCTCCATAAACTTCTTGCAAACTTCTATGGCATCCTATGAAGAAAAAAAAACAAAAAGAAAGTATGATTTTTCAGTGTATAAGTGTTTTGTTTACAAATGACAAACTTCATATTTTTCTAATTCATACTAATTTTATAGTGCAAACTTCCTTTTCCAAAGTGGAATTAACACCAGAGGAGTGAATAGTTGGGTGCCCTCATTTGCCATGTACGAAAGTATAAGATACAGTAAGTGTTCTTTTATTTTGAGACAGAGTCTCGCTCTGTCACTCAGGCTGGAGTGCAGTGGTGCAATCTCAGCTCACCGCAACTTCTGCTTCCTGGGTTCAAGCAATTCTCCTGTCTCAGCCTCCCTAGTAGCTGGGACTACAGTCACATGCTACCATACCTGGCTAATATCTGCATTTTTAGTAGAGACGCGGTTTCACCATATTGCTCAGGCTGGTCTCAAACTCCTGACCTCAGTTGATCCACCAACCTCAGCCTCCCAAAGTGCTGGGATTACAGGCATGAGCCACTGTGCCTGGCTGCAAGTGTTCTTAAAATGCTATTAAGGAACTTTTCACCTAAAAATCATGTTTCATTGATTCTAAGCCACACAATTTATTCATGTTTTAAAATCTCTAAAATCAGGATGAAGATACAATCAATTAATGGTATCCTGGATTTGATGAAATCTGGGATATAATGAGTAAGTCTTTCAATACTATTCCTGTCTTTTCAAATTTGACAGCTGTTCATAGAAAGAGCTCTGAAAACCTCTTTGTTGTAGATTTTTAATGCTAACTTAAATTTCCTTTTCGAATTTTCTAGAGAGAACAAGGATAAAGAGGTATCCAGATACAGAGAAAATATTATGCCAGTGACCTTTAGAGATGTTTTAAAGATGACAACATATTAATGGCACTTCAGATGGGCCAGCAAGTTTTATTGTTACCTCTAATAAAGTTTCATCACTAGTTTCACCATGGTTAATTGGAAATGGTTTCCGCCCATCTGTGGAAAACAGACAAACAATTGAATGCTTAGCTGTTTTTACAGGATAATGTATTTCCAACTTCCATTTTCCAATTCCCACAGTGAGGCAAGAAAAGTTAAAATGTCATTTTAAATAACATATGCTATAACAAATGTTCTGATATGCTAGCCATGAAGATTTTTAATGAAAGGTTATTAGTTAGACCTTTGCTTCCATGTTTGAAAGCCTAAATTATCTTCATGAACAGAATTTATTACAATGCTGGCTTTCGTTTCCTGAAAATAATATGCAAAATTATTGTTAGTTTTTAAAAAATTATGACCCAAGCTTTTATCCTTAGAAATTTTAAAAATTTCTTTTCTCACTTTAAATAGGAAGATCTCAAGTAAGACAGACATGTTAAAAACAATGAAAGGGAGCCACACTATCATGGCTTATACAACACTACCACTAATTGTGTACTACCAATGCAGTGATACAGCGGAATAATCCAAATAGCCCGGAGTTATTTTACTGATCACCGAAATAACCAAGTTCACAATCAACTTAAACAAACTAGTATTTTTTGAATATTATAAAAAAAGAAAAATTCCAGAATTATTTAAACTCATGCTAACCCAAAGTCAACTGATAATTATATATCCAAATCCATAATTTCAGACGTCTTGTAAGTGGCTCCTCACTGAGTTCAACCCACAAAACACAGCCCCTTCTACAATTCCATGGTTTCTAACCATAATAAAAATTTCTGAATACGCATATAGTAATAGACTTTGTTAGACACTTTTTAGAAAATGAATAAAAATTAACATATAAATACATCTCCATATAAAATAATATTAATTTCTGTAAATTATATCATCAGAATTTGTGATTCCTATTTTTGGACTAACATTGAGATAAATATTCAAAATCCTAAAGAAACTTTTCCCTAAATTACAATGCCTAGGATGTAATTCCTAAAATTTCTAAGAACCTTTAGGAAACATTTTCCTACAACTATATTACACATGAACACTTAATTATCTCTATTTCTATGAACTTATACCACCTTTCTAAATTGTAATGTACATTTCTCAATAATATAAAACATATTCCAATATATCCTTATGTGGCAAATGCTTATTCTTCAACAGACTGTTTATAGTTATTTGACTATCATATTCATTACGTGCCACCCCATTTTGGATTTTTTAAAATCTTTACATAAAAGCAGAAGTATAAATAAACAATGTAGGCTGTTCCCTGCCTATCCAAATTATAAATTGATATACATTTTTTCCCTTTGTATTTTTCTTTCTTTTTAATTTAGAGATAGAGTCTCATTTATATTGCCCAGGCTCAACTTGACCTCCTGGGCTCAAGCAGTCCTGCCTCAGCTTCCCAAACAGCTGGTACTGCAGGCACATGCAACAGTGCCCAGCTTAATATATGTATTTTCCTGGTTTCCATCAACTTTTTGTGTGTCAATCATGACACTAAAGAGCTAATAAATTCAGTTATGGCTGGGTGTGGTGGTTCCTGCCTGTAATTCAAGAAGACTGCTTGAGGCCAGGAGTTCAACAACAGCCTGGGCAACACAGTTTAATAAATTAGCCAGGTATAAAGGCACAAGACTATAGTCCCAGCTACTTGGGAGGCTGAGGCAGGAGGATCACTTGAACCCAGGAGTTCGAGGATGCAGTGAGCTATGATTACTGCACTGCACTCCAGCCTGGGCAACAGAGTGAGATTCTGTCTCTAAAAAAATAAAATAATAAAATAACTAAATACAAATAAAAAATAAATGGCAGTGAGCAATTTTCCTTCGAATGCAGCTAAAGTAACATATAATTAATTTCAATTACTATAGACTAAGATTGTTAAACAATTGATCCTGAAATGTCAGAACTGTGTAGTTTCTTTTTAGAATAGCGGTACAGAACAAAGATTTATTATGATTTTTACTTTTATTCTAATCCTGAGTTTGGCTAACTTCAGCCCATGGGCCAAATCCAGCCCTCACTGTATTTTTAATGCCTCCTTTAAGCTAAGACTGGTTTTTATGTTTTTAAAAGACAGTATGTTACCCACAAAAACCTAAAATATTTACGACTTGGTAAATATTTTACAGAAAAATTTTGCCAAAACAATAAAATCTAAAATTTGCTGTTGTTCCAAACACCACTACCACAAAACTGTCATTTGCCAACAACTTTGGGTGTAATTTAAGTAAATGCATACCCTGCAGAAGAATCCATGAGGCTCAGAGACTGTTACACTTACAGGCCCCTTCTAAAAGAGGCAGGAAAAAAAATGCAATTTGTGCATAGGTCATGTAACCTAAAAATCTCGGTCCAAATGGGCTGTGCCACTTACAGGCTGGACAGGGAAGACAACAGTGGCCTGATTTTTTGGTAGTAACTAAGCAATTCATTCAGAACTTGTTTTTTGCATAGTTTGAGCACAAGACCTCAGAGAAAGGTGACAGCAGAGTTGGACAAGAGACAGAGACATGACAAACACCATGAGATGCTTTTTGTTGCAGATAACCAAGATCAGCTACCATCAAATACCCAAGGACAGCCAATAACATGAATGATGGCGTTTAAACAGCAGAGACTACACAGAAATAAAAACTTTTAAAAAATATACGCCGGGCGTGGTGGATCACGCCTGTAATCCAAGCACTTTGGAGGCCAAGGCGGGCAGATTACCTGAGGTCGGGAGTTCAAGACCAGCCTGACCAACATGGTGAAATCCCATCTTTAAAAAATAAATAAATAAATAAATAAATAAAATAAAAAATAGGCTTAAAAAACAGAGATTATACAGAAATAAAAACTTTTAAAGAGTGTGCAGGCATGCCTGAGAGATATTGTGGATTAGCTTCCAGAATGCCGCAATAAAGCAAATATTACAGGAAAAGGAGTCACAAATTTTGTTTCCTAGTGCATATAAAAGTTATGTTTATATTACTCTGTAGTCTATTAGTTGTACATTAGCATTATGTTTAAGAAAACAATGTACATACCTTAATTAAAAAACACTTTATTCCAAAAAATGCTAATGATCATCTCAGCCTTCATCAAGTTGTAGTCTTTTTGCTGATGGAGGGGCTCGTTTTGATGCTGATGTCTCCTGACTGAACAGGATGGTGGTTCCTGAAGGTTGGGGTGGCTGTGGAAATTTCCTAAAATAAGACAATAATGAAGTCTGCCACATCTGATTGTTTGCCACATTTGACTCTTTCATGAAAGATTTCTCTGTACCATGTGATGCTATTTCACAGCATTTTACCCACAGCAAAACTTCTTTCAAAAATGTTGTCAATCCTCTCAAATTCTGCTGCTGATCAATTACATTTATGTAATCTTCTAAATCCTTTGTGGTTTGTGATCATTTTAACACTGTTCATGACTTCTTTATTAGGAGTAGATTGCATCTCAAGAAATCAGTTTCTTTGCTCATCTATAAGAAGCAACTTCTTACTTGTTCAAGTTTGAGCCTGAGATTGCAGCAGTTCTGTCACATCTTCAGACTCTCCTAATTCCAATTTTCTTGCTGTTTTCACCGTATCTGCAGTTAGTTCCTCCAATGAAGTCTTAAACCCCTCAAAGTCACCCATGAGGAGAGAAACAACTTCTTCCAAACTCCTGTTAATGTTGATATTGTGAGCTCTTCCCATAAATCATGAATGTTCTTAATGGCATCTAGAATGGTGAATCCTTTCCAGAAAGTTTTCGATTTACTATTCTCAGATCCATCAATGGAATCACTATGGCAGCTACCGTCTCAAAAACTGTATTTCTTAAATAACTAAAAATGAAAGTCTAAATGATTCCTTGATCCAAGGGCTGCAGAATGGATGCTGTGTTAGCAGAACTGAAAATATTAATCTCCTTGTACATATATCTACCTGAGACCTCTTGGATGACCAGGTGCAGTGTCAATTAGCAGTAATATTTTCAAAGGAATCATTTTCTGAGCAGTAGGTCACAAGAGTGGGCTTAAGATATTCAGTAAGCCATGCTATAAACAGATATGTTATTATCCAGGCTATGTTGCTCCATTTATAGAGCACAGGCAGAGAAGATACAGCATCATTCTTAAGCACCCTAAGATTTTCTGAATATCAAATGAGTGCTGGCTTCAACTGAAAGTCACTGTCTGCATTAACAAGAGAATCAGCCTGTCCTTTGAATCTCTGAAGGCAGGCACTGACCTCTCCTCTCTAGCTATGGAAGTCCTAGATGGCATCTTAATTCCAAGAGAAGACTATTTCATCTACATGGAAAATCTGTTTACGTAGCCACCTTCATGGAAAATCTGAGCTGGATATTCTGGATAACTTGCAGTTTCTCCATCAGCATGTGCTGATTCACCAGGCATTTTCATGTTATGGAGATGACTTCTTTCCTTAAACCACATGAACCAATTCTAGCTTCAGACTTTCTTCTGTAGCTTCCTCACCTCTCTCAGCCTTCAAAGAGCTGAAAAAAGTTAGGGCCTTGCTCCATATTAGGCGTTAGAAAATGTTGTAGCTAGTTTGATCTTCTATCCAGACCACTCAAACTTTCTCCATATCAGCAATAATGCCGTTTTGCTTTCTTGTCCTTCATGTGTTCACTGGAGTAGTACTTTTAATTTCCTTCAAGAACTTTTCCTTTGCATTAACAGCTTGGCTTACTGTTTCACACAAGAGGCCTAGCTATCAGACCCTCCTGGCTTTCAACATGCCTTCCTCATTAAGCTTAATCATTTCTAATTTTTGACTTAAAGTGAGAGACATGTGACTTGAATGCTTAGAGGCCTTTGTAGAGATTTAATTGGCCTCATTTCAATATTATTGTGTCTCAGGGAATAGGGAAGTCCAAAGAGAGGGAAAGAGATGGGAAAATGGCTGCTTAATGGAGCAGTCAGAACATATACAAGAAATCAGTTAAGTTTGCCATTGTACATGAGTATAGCTTGTGACACCCCCAAACGATTACAATAGTAACATCAAAGATCACTGATCACAGATACCATAACAGAT